GCTTCTTGGTGTCTAGGAATCAGAGCAACTAGAAACAGCCCCTAGGCAAGGAAGGCGATTGAGGAAACACCGTGACAGCTGGAGAAACCCACACTGAACCCTCATTTATCGGATCCTGCATCCCTCTTCACACGGGAGGCAGGGAGGCTTGTGGGTGGGGTCCAAGGTCACAGACTCTTTATCAGCAGAACTGGAAGGAGCCTCACCATTCAGGATGCTCTGCTAGCTTTCTTTGCTCCTGACGTACCTGCTAGTGGCTTAAGAAGGGACGTTGTTCAGCTTGTCAAACAGTTGACTTCAAGTCCCCACCCGCTTGCCCTTGTGTAACGACTGCTTAGGAAGATTTCCCCAAGTCCTTTCTAGGCCAAAGTGAAAACCAGGAAGGGCAGAAGGCGAAGGCAGAACTACTAACTCAGCCTCACCAGGCAGGAGGATGCAGCTTTGGCAACCAGATCTGCCAAGGAAGAGGCAGCCGTAAGGCTGTTGAGCCTGACTGCTGGGTGCTGAAAGGAGAAAGTAAGGCAAAAGATAATAGGGAAGTTAGACACCTTTTCAACCGGTCAGTTTAAGACATGCCTTTATTTTATTTATTATTTGATCAAGTTCTATTTTTTATGTGTATGTGGGCTTTGCCTACATGTATGCTTGTGCAGCTATGTGTGTGTCTTGAAGGCCAGAAGAGAGTGTTGGATTCCCTGGAATGACTTCAGGATGGTTGTGAGCCATGCTGAGGGTCCTGGGAACTGAACACCACCAACACTTAGGAGGCGGGAAGATCAGGAGTTCCTGGTAATCCTCTCTGCTTCATACTGAGTTCAAGGACAGCCTAGTTCTATTTAGGACAGAGGCTAAGGAGAGCAAAATGCAGAGCAAGCAGAAAGGCGCTAGAGGGCGCCCTGGTCCAGGAGCTGAGGGGCTACAAAGCATCCCTGGGGCATCATTCCTTTGGTGGTGGCCTCTGGGTTCCTCTTGCACTTCTCACGCTCTGCTCCGCTCCACTGTAGCTTCAGAGAAGCAATTTCCAGGCAAGCCCCTTCCCACCACACCCCAGGCTTTTCTTTCGATTTTATTTATGCCCAGGCTTTCTCATGTGTAATTGCTAACCTCCGACCCAGAATTTATAGAGACCGACCAGGCTATCTTCTAGTAGGACAAGGCCCCCAGGACACTTACACTCATAATGTCTCATTTTGCCTTATTTTATGCTTCAGATAAGAGAGATGTCTGAGTTTGGGCAGCTGTCCAGGCCGAGAACTGGAAGACAGGATTCTGCGTAGCTTTTTATAGTCCCTCTAAGTCCACCGTGGCCCCATGTTTACACAGGCAACCCCATTTTTGCCAAAGTGATTTGTGAAATCCACAGACATAGGTAGTGGATTTGAATCCATGACTTTTCTGTCTATAAACTCGTGGAATTAACACTTTACCATCAGTTTGGAGGTCTGTGTCATTACCAACAGTGTTGGTTCTGCTAGATAAGAAGCCGGAAGGATGTATGTATGCTGGGATTCTATGTAAGTCAGACATGAAGGGAAGATAGGGGCAGTCACATTGAAGCTGGACCAGGGCCCTGGGCAGAGGACCAGAGAAGGGTCCCATTCTAGGCTCTGTAGATCTGAATGTTCAAATCCACGTCTTCAAGACTTAAATCCCAATGTGATAATATTGAGAGGTATGACCTTCAGAGAGTAATAGACTGTGAAGGTCAAAAGGGTATTCTACTGGGGGATTAATGTCTTTACAAGACGACAAAGAGGCGCTAGAGCTTGATTTTTCCCCAGTCTAGAGACTGGAATGTCCCAGATGAAGGTACCAGCCGGCTTGGTTCCCACTGATGGCTCTCTGGCTGACTATTGCTGCTGGGAACATTTCTCCCATGCCGGCCCTGTGCATCTTCCAGTTCGGCTGCTCACTGCAGACTTGGAACGTTCCTTATGATAAACCAGGGAACGTAACTGAGGCTCTTGCCTGAGTTCTAAAAACTGCTGTGGTGAATTACTCAAGCCAGAGAAGCAGAGTTGTGGAAATTCAACCGATAACCAGCAATTTAAAACACACAGGACACAGTCTTGTCTCGTGATGGGAACCTGAAATCTGGGATGACAACCCCAAGTTGGTGGGTCTGACACTGTCTCTGACATGGGAGGCCATGTCAGAAAAGATCCTGGAGAGTCTGTGCAGTAGGACTGCTTTGCTCTTGTGAGAAACTCTCACTTCTACATCAGAAGTGAGAAGTGTTGGCTTCACCATGTCTGTGAGGGGTCTTTCTCCCCCAATTTCCCTCACACACAGGGTCAGATGGCCCAGGCTGCACCTGAACTGTGTTTTACAGCCCAGGATGACCTTAAACTCCTGATCTTCCTGCTTCGACCTCCGGAGTACCGGGAGAACTCATGTCGGCCACCATGCCCAGCCTCTTACATCCACTAAAACTTCTTTTACATCGAATTATTTTGTGTGTATGCATATGGGTGTATGTAAACACATGTCTTGGTGCTCGTGTAAAGGGGAGAGGGTGTTTTGTGGGGATTCCTTCTCTCCTTCCACCGTGTGGGTTCTAGGGATGGAATTCAGGTTGTTAGATTTGGCAACAAGTATTTTTATCTGCTTGGCTATCTCAACCCCTCTATCCTTTTAATATTTAATTAAAAGACATGATATGAATGAGTTCCTGCTCTGAAAGAGGCAGAAATCACCACAGGCAAATGGGTCTGTAAGAAACAGAATTCAGCAGGGAATTTGTAAAAGGCTATGAAATGGCCATGCTCAGTGTCCTTGGGTCACCAGGCCCAGGAGGGAAGTTTACTGAGGACTGGAGAGCTAATTGAGAGAACTACTAAGGCTGGGATATGGCCCTTACCTCAGACCTAGGGCCCTCTTCGCTGTGGTTGTAGGCTTGTTGGCTATCGTCTTTACCTCCTGAGCATGCCCAAGTGCCTTATTCTTATGGGTGGCTGTCTTGGCCAGTGTTTTATTGCTGTCAAGAGACATCATGACCACAGCAACTCTTATAAAAGAAAGCATTTAATTGAGGCTGGCTTACTGTTTCAGAGGTTCAGTCCATTGTTGTGGTGGGGAGCATGGCAGCACGCAGGCAGACATGGTACTGGAGAAGTAGCTGAGAGTTCTGTATCTGGATCCACAGGCAGCAGGAAGGGCAGAGACACTGGGCCTGACTTGGGCTTCTGAAATCTCAAAGCTCACCCTGTGACACATTTCCTCAAACGAGGCTGACCTACTCCAACAAGGCCACACCTCCTAATCCTTCTTTAAGTAGTGCTACTCCCTACACTAATCGTTCAAATATATATGAGCCTGTGGGGATATTCTTATTCAAACAACCACAGTAGCCATCTTTGTGCAAGGAACTATAGGGCTTCCGATAAAGATCCAAGAGGTCCCAAGCTTAGAGATGACCAGTCTTTTAGTTCCTTCAGAGCCTACTCCCTTCCTTCCTATTCCTTTTTAAAATGGAGGCAGAGGAGGCGGGGTCTTATCTATGGACCCTTAACTGAGGGTGGCCTTGAACGGCTGATCTTCCTAGCTCCACTTCCTGAGTACTGGGTTTACAAGCTAACAAAGTGTCACCACATCCAGTTCTTCTGTGATTTAACCCAAAACTTAGTAAACGCCAGGCAAGCTGTCTCCCAACTAACTGTGCTTGCTGTATTCCAAGTCCCTCTCCCCCGCTTATTTCTCTCTTTCATTTTTTGAGATAGGGTCTCACATTGTCCGGCCCAAGCTATGCCTCAAAACTCACTGTAACCAAACCTGGCCTCAACTTTGAGGTAATCCTCTCCTCTCAGAAATCCCAGTGTTAGGACTATGTGAGCTACCATGCGCAGCTCTAGCTTTCTCGTTTGAGACAGGATCTTGCTGTGTGGCCAAGGCTAGAACCCAGTTCCTTCCAACTTAGCCTCCCAGTTGCTGGGACAAGTGTGTAGCACCATACCCAGATGGAATGGCGAGCTTTATAAGCAGGCCCTCCCTGGAATCATAGTTCCAGGAAACCTAGGGCCTTCAGGGCAACAAACAAGGCAAAAGCAAAACTCCTCTCAAAATGCACCTCCCAAAAGGATGAAGGTGGCCTGGCTTGCTCTCACGTGTGGAGAGAGACAGGCTAGCTTGGACCCCAGTGAAGACTGGCATGTATTCAAGAGGCATTCATCAGCTGTGTGTTCTTGTGCAAACCCTGTCCTTTTCTGAACTTCAGTTTTCTGCTATTTGTGGCTGTTATTGATTGCTTGCTATGTAACCTGGACTGTGCCGTCACTCGTGATCCTCCTAGGGCTTCAGCCTCCCCAGTGCTGGGATTTTGGACATTCCCTACCACATGGAGACTGACATAGATTTTCTATCCTGTTAGACATGACCATCCTCCTCAACTTTTCCCTCCCCTCCCTACCAGACAAAGTGCTGGAGTAGATGCCAATTCGAGGACTGTTGGAGAAACGTCTTTGACCTAGAACTCTAGTCCTTCCCAGCCCATCGTCTAAGGAGCTTCGATCCTGCCCATTCCACAGTAGATTGATATTCGGTTCCCAGCTGGCTGGCTAGTTCCCTCTTACTCATCCACCACTCCTTTCAAGGACAGGAATGTGCATGGTTCAGCCTCTGCTCTGACTCCTACGGCACAGTGAAAGCTAAAGAAACTTTAAGAGGGGCGAAGGATCAGCCCACCCTTACTTTTTTCTCGGAGGAACTGGTGGGGATCGAGAGATCACATCCTAACATAGAAAACGGGCCGTCTAGTGCGCTGAGAACGTGGCCACCAAAACGGAGAGCTTCTCCACGGCCACCCCTATATAGTTCTTCCCAGTGCCTCGGGAAAGAACCAGGGAACACAAGGGGCCAACAGTGGGGTTGGAGATGGCATTGGAGAGGGCAGAAGTCGCCTAGGTCAGCAGCTGGGAACCGCTTGCAGGCAGCGGGCTGAAGCAGGGTGGGGCCCGGCGGACCGCAAGTCTCAGGGGGCGTGGAACCCAGGCGGAAGGGGCGGGCCGGGCACGAGAAGGGCTGGGCCGAGGTGCCGCGGGGTTGCTGGAGGGTCGTGGGAGGCACGTCGGAGACATGTCGGGGGGCAGCAGCTGCAGCCAGACTCCCAGCCGGGCCATCCCCACTCGCCGCGTAGCCCTAGGCGACGGCGTGCAGCTCCCGCCCGGGGACTACAGCACCACCCCGGGCGGCACGCTCTTCAGCACCACCCCGGGAGGTAGGCGCGGGCCGGGGGTCCCGGGCGATCTCCGGGACCTGGAGGACACGCGGAGATCCGGAGTCGCACGTGCGACGGGGGTGGCGGCGCTCGGGGGGTTTCGTAGCTGGACAGAACGGACAAGGGGCGTCGGGAAGGCTGGAGGGTCACCGTCTCGGTTGCCCGCCTTCTGGAGCGTGGTCTGGAGATCGGGCTGCAAACTGCCCGCGATAGCTTTTCCCTGGGAGAGACCGCGGAGTGCCCCAAGCACACAGATAGGCACTCTGCCAGGATCACCATGTGCTCAAGTGCGGCCTCTGTGGGTGTCAGGGCAGGTCTAGTGTGGAACAGGCTGGGGGTCGGGGTGGCCCACGGAGCAGGGGGAGGGCCTGGCGTGGAGATGAAGTTTAGTTGATCTCCCTTGGAATAAATAACGTCTGCACGCACACTTTTTAACCTTCACGGTTATACCCTCGTTTGGCGTTGGACACTCGCTCCTTAATGGAGGCTGGGCGTTGAGGGCGCGCCCTGCCCCAGGAGCACGTCTGGGCCACCTGTGGCACGAAGACGATTTACCGAGGGAGGTCTCTATGCAAGGGGCCTGGCGCCGCGTTCAGGGCTGTGCAGAACAACACGTTCCTCGGGTACTGGGGGGAGGGCACAGCGCTGAATTCGCCCAAGCGGCCGTGGATGAGGAAGAGGAAGCTGAGTTGGCGTGGGAGGGGGCCGGCCTCCGGGAACCAGGCATTCCCAGCTTGCCCGGGAGCCCCAGTATAGGCGCTGATGAAACCTATACGCCCGTTTGCATGATGAAATCCTCGTGGCTTGCTACTTCCCTCCCATCCTCGCGCTGCTCCCACCCACTTTGCGCTTCTTCCCTTCCTGGTCTCCTCCCCCAAGCTTCTCCTCTTACAACTTAAAAAACAGGAGAGTTCCTGGCGCTACGCTGAACCTTGGGCTACTCCAGGCCGGGCCAGGCCACATGTCTGTTTTCTCAGGCAGCTGTCCCTACACCAGAGAACACAGCCAGATCCCAGAACCAAAGTCACCGAGGAAGGGATCTTGGAGATGAGTGTCCGGTTTGTGCCTCTCGGTCTTCCAAACACTGCACCAAGGCCCCGCTCCTTGAGCATGTGCCCTTATGCATTGTCGTGGTGTGTTCCTAGACTCAGCAAGAAGTAGCAACCAGGTAGAGGGGGGCAGTGGCCCAAGGAAAAGTTCTCTGCAGGACACAGCAGGTAGCCTGAGCCGTCTCCCTTCCTGTGTCAGGTGGTCATTAACCCCTTGCTGGCTGACCCAATGGTTTGCAGTTAGGTACCCAGAGAACCTTAGCCATTTCTGAAGGGGTTGTCCTACATTAATACTTGAACCTGCGAGTCTTTGAGATGGCCAACAATCCTATAAAGTGACTCTTCTCGTGAATTCCCAGAATGGATGTTTGAACTCTATCCTACAGAAGTTGTTGGGGGGTGCTTGTACCTACTAGTGCCCGGATGAGGTTAATCAGGCAAGCGGGTAGGGTGGCAGATGGTGATGACATTGTTTTGTTAAGCCAACAAAAATGGTGCATGCGAAAATAGTGGCACAGGCCTTTAATCCCAGCACTTGGGAAGCAGAGGGAGGTGGGGCTCTGTAAGTTCGAAGCCAGCCTGGTCTACATAGTGAGTTCCAGGTCAGTGTGTGTGTGTGTGTGTGTGTGTGTGTGTGTGTCTATGTCTGGGAGCTGACCTTGAAGTGACTGCCAGCTGTTAGCTGTGGTAGTGCTGGGAAGAGGGGGAGGGGGCTTGGCACTGATGCTGGTGTCCCGAGGTTTTAGTCCCGGAGAGGGGAGAAGTTCCTGTTGAGGACCAAGGGCAGAGTGAGAGAGCTGGGCTATAGAGGCAGTGAAGGAAGCAGAAGAATGGTCCTCATCTCGCTGCTACCTGAGCTTCCTTTGAAAGTGTTGGAAGCATTATACATTAGGTTCCAGAACACACTGCTGAGTTGAGGGGGTCAGGGAGAGCACTCCAAACTCCCCTGGAACCCTGTTGCTTTTTTAAGAGGCTCAAGAGGCAGGCACTAGGTCTGGACTAGGAAGACAGTCTGACTTGGGGGGCTGGCATGGCTAGCTAGTCAGAAGAGTTAGCGGAGGTAGAATGCAAGCTTGGAGCCGAGGAGAGGGCTCAGGGGTTAAAAAGTGCTCGCTGCTCTTGGGAAGGACTGCCTTTCAACACCTACAGGGTGCTCCTGGACCCCTGACTACTGTGATTCAAGCTTGAGGGGTGCCCTCTTCTGACTTCCACAGGAGCCTCCCCCCAAATAAAAAAATAAAAGCTTGGAGGGTTGGAGGTGAACTCGGTGACGGTTAAGTTCTGTGTCTAGCATCACACAGAAGGAAGGGAGGAGAAGGGGTGCGGGGAATGAATATCAAGTGTAAGACAGAATGGCTGTGTTGGGAGTGACGGGAGCTGGATGTTGGTCACAGACTTTCAGTTATGAGAGCTGTAAATTCCAGGGATGTAGTTATCCGTGACTATACTTAACCCTGCAGTGTTTTCTAGAAATTAGCTAAGAGCAGCCTTAGCACTATCCTTACTTACACAAACACACACATCTGTGACATAGGCTCATTTAATTGTGGGATTTATTTCATGTTTCCTAGTGTGAGATCATCATTTTGTGTTCTTTGACTCGGTCTCCCTCCTACCTTCCTTGGCTGACCTCAAACTGTTGATCCTCCTGCCTCAGGCTCCTGAGGGCTGAGATTTTAGGCATGTGCCATTCAGCTTGAGTGTAAGTCATTTTTATTTGCTGGTTGTATTGAATAATTTAGTACAGCTCACGGGGGACACGATTCTAAAAATCAAAGGCCTGTCTCTAGAATGAAGTGACTTGATAGCCCCCCCCCCCCCCCCCGCAACCCTCCAGCTCTGTAACCCGTCGTAATTCTACTTTGTGTAGAACATGCCTGATATCCAAAAGAGGACTCTTCTCCCTGATAAATGACAGACTAATTAGGTGAGCCTCTAGATTTTAGTGGCCTTCAGAGGTTGCATTTTTTCCCAATATCCTCCCAAAGTGGCAGGTGTTCATTATTCGAAAGCTGAGTTTGTTTCTCCCCCATCATAATGGCAAAAGTCATTACCAGTTTTGGTGAAGGTAAGGGTGGGGTTGTTTTCATTTCATTTATTGGTATAAAATACTGAAACTTTTTTTGCAGATGAACCTTTATTTGATGTTCGCGAGAATGAGTTAGAAGGGAATAGCAATAATGAAAAGGGGCGATAGGTTTTTTTTTTTTCTCTTAATGTTCATTTGTGTATATGAATCCCCATATGTTTAGGCAAACAAACCAAAAACATCCGTTACTGTCTGGAGTGATTCTCAAGGCCAGCTGTCTTTCTCTGAGTGAGTTATAGCCGGGAGCCTGTTGACAGGTTTGTTCAGGGTTAGACCGGATGTTCTCGAGTAGTCCTGATGTCCCCGGGATCTAATGCCAGGTCCAGTGTTTGGAAGGTGACAAGTTGTGCCTGGGTGTGGCTTCGTGGCACGGTGCTCTCTTGGTATGTGTGATGCCCTGGGCAGGTCTTTAAACTAGAGAAAAGATGAAAGTGAAGGGGACAAGAAGCCTAGAATTTCCCTTAGGACATCTAGGTTCTTTCCCCTCAGCCCTGGGTTTCCAGTCTGTCTCCAGGGTGGAGGTGGCTGTCCTGGGCAGCCATTGACTTTTAACAAGCCAGCCCCAAACTCAGTAACTTAGACAGCAGTTTCCTTCTCTGGTCTGTTTGCTTCTTTTTACGGATTTTGATAGCGTTGAGTCATGCTGCAGCTGTATTGCCTTGGGCTTCAAGGTCCAAGGTGGCCTTATCCACAAGTGTGAGTCCTTGCTGCTGGTGGGATTGCCCTCTTGGGGCTCAAAACATTTAGTTTAGCTTGAATTTGTAAACACCTTTATAATAGCAAGGCTACCTAGGGCATGGGCATGGGAGCCTTGTCATGGCACATAAGAAGTATTTTTGTGTTCTTGGGGGCAGTCCAGCTTCCAAGAGGGGGCAAGAGGAAGAGGGGATGGCCTGTTTTATTTTGAGACAGGATCACCTCATAGCCCAGCCAGGATGGCCTCAGATTTGACGATGACCTTAACTCCTGGTCAGGCCACAATTACTTCTCAAGCGTTCAAACACTGCTCCCCCCTCCTTTGCTTCCTCTGAATGTCAGGTTTTAGGAACATTATTTGCAGGGCTCATTCTCACTGTCCAGCTCTGCGCTCCCATTAAAACATGAAAGGCCTGGGTTTTCTTGGCACAAGCAATTGGCTTGTGTCAGGGTGAGAATACAGGAGGTACAGTCTGTTTAGCGCTTTGGTTTGACAACATACAGTGTGAAGGTTTAAAAGCGGGTTTCTTAGCTGACTCTGGTGTCACATGCCGTGATACCAGTACTCAAGGAGATGGAGATCGTAGGATCAGGTATTCAAGGCCAGTGTGGGTTGCTTTGAATGAGAACGGCCCCCATAGACTCATGTATTTGAATGAGTGGTCCCCAGTTGGTGGAACTGTTTGGGAAGGATGAGGAGGCGTGTCACACTGCCGGTGGACTTTGAGGCCTCCAAAGCCATGCCCTTCCCAGTTAGCTCTTACTGTCTCACACCAATAGGTAAATGTGAAAGCTCCCAGCTTCTGCTCCATCCAGCACCATGCCGCCATACTTCCTGCCGTGATGACAGTTGCAGACTCTCAGCCTCACATTAAATGCTTCATTTTGTAAGTTATCTTCGTCATGGTGTCTTACCACAACAATGGAAAAGTAACTAAGCCAGTCAGCCTCAGCCACATACTGAGCTGGAGGGTAGACCGGGCCACATGAAGTCCAGTTACAGAACACTCAAATGAACAAAGCAGATGTCCAACTTAAAAAGATGTGTGTTTGGATTAGAGTAGTACCTCAGTGGAAGAACAAGTGTGTCTGAGACCCTGGGATTAATCCCAGGCACTGAAAAAGGGAAGCTCCAGCCGGTCTCTCTTAGCTTGCTATGGCTACCG